GATCATATCCAAAGGAGGTTGGCGGAATATCGGTGAAGCCTTGCAATTCAAAGTTAAAGATCAAGTTCAAGCTTCATCCGCATGTGTACCAAGTCGAGCTTATTGAAGATCAAGATCTAGCTTGGGTAAATTAGAAATCACATATTTCATATTTACTATTGTGTTTTTGAAAACATTGCATAGAATATGCAATTTTATGAAATTCTGTATTCTTAGTTTTTGTACTTAACAATAATCATATACATATTTTATTAAGTCTATATAATCATTGTGCAAAGTTTCAAAACGTGGTTTAGCCTAAATGTCAAAATTCACATGTTTACATTTTCATGTTTTGGATTATTTTGTAAAATAATGATATTTTTCATTTGGGAAGTTTTTTTTAGAAACCAGTTATTGTAGCATGTTTATTATCATGTCTACAATCATTCTCCAAAGTTTTACATTTTTTGGAATTTATTTGATATTTTTAAACAGTGTTTTAAAATCAAAAAAAAATAGTTTTTAGACTTCATTTTCTGTAGTATCAGATTTCGGTCGACCGCACCGGTCGACCGCTCATATGTTCAGTCGACAGTGGGCAGCAGAGAGTTTTTTAGTCGACCGGTGCGGTCGACCGAGAGCTCGAAATTTCTATCGGTCGACCGCACCGGTCGACCGACGAAGTTCTGCTTGTATTCTCAGTTTCAGATCTGGATCGCGGTCGACCGCAAATTTTTTCGGTCGACCACCGCTCTGTCAGTTCTGCTTCCAACGGCTATTTTTGTTACCGTTGCTGGGGCTGTTTTTGTCATTTGATTTGGGATTTTTGGCTGAGGTTCTTGGAGGCTATAAATACCCCATTGATCTCAGTTCTCAATTAACCCAAGAGAGAATGTTTTAACAGTTTTAAAAAGAGTTTAAGTTTGTTTAGTTTGTTTTTGGGGTTTGCTGTTACAAAGAGGAGTTTGCATCATCTGTTGAGGAATTCATCTTCAATATTCTTTCATCCTCTCTTTGTGTTGATAGAGAAGTTTCCTTAACTCTATTTCCTAGCATTTCTACTATTGTATTTCATATCAATCTTATTGCTAGTTATTATTGAGTTAAGTTTTTATTTATATCTTATTGTTACACACACCCACCTTGAGCTTATTGTATTTGCATACATAGTATATTAGGGTTGTGAGAGATTGTAACATTGAGTTGTGCTTAATTAAGTTCTCCCCTTGTATGAGAGAACAAATCATTTATATTTGTTACATTGTGAGTGTTGTAAGGTTTTCGGTGAGCTAGAAAACCGAGTGTGTTGTGAAGTTTTCGGTGAACTAGAAAACCAATTGTGAGGAATGACGTTGTTCGGTGAGCATTGTAAACCGATACTGTGAGGTGTAAACGTTATTCGGGTGAGCGTAGAAAACCCGGTTGTGATAGTGAATTTTTCCCCAGGAGTGGGGAGCGGAGACGTAGGACGGAAGGTCCGAACTCCGTGATCATATCTTGTGTTTGAGTGTGCTTTGGCGTTTATTTATACTTGTGTTTATATTTCTTGTCGCCATTGTCATTAGCTCATTATTTATATGATCCACTATCTAGTTCATATAGTTTACCCCTTGTGTTAGTTTTATATCCTTGCATATACATATATCATATTGTATATCTCTTTGATAAGATATATCATCTTGTGTTAGTTTATATATCCTTGCATATATATATTCATCATATAGGATATATTTCATTGTTCATATTGCTTATCCTAGCTAATGTATCTTATTGTATTTTATTCTTGCTAGGATAACTTGTTAATTAGTTTTTATTGGCATATAATCAGATTAGATTAGCATAAGACCCTAATCACCCCCCTCTAGGGTCTAACATATATATCATATCATACTCCCTTTAAAAGAGGGAGTTGTGGAAAAACTTTTCAAGGACTATACTACCCCTATTCTTTGTTGATATTACATTCTAATACTAACTAAACTAAATTAATTATCATTGTTAATTAATTACATTATATGTCACTTTAAGTTTGTATAATTTGGTCCCTAAAACTTCCAACGCTATTGTAAAACTCTACATCATATCAATTATTAGTAATGTAAAATAATATATTAATAGATAATTGCATGTTAATAAAGTATTTATGGAAAGAGTAGAAAATATAGAATTGCCCTAAAATTATACCATGAAACTTATATAGGAAAATTACAAAGAGCATTCTTATGTTTATGTAAGAGGACAGAATGTAAAAACATTATATTTTGGAAAATATTAGGATATTTAAGTGCAGCAAGCTAGATATGTTACCTAAAATTTAAAAAATGTGCAACAAGATACAAGTGGAGGTATATAAATATAATTGCTGTAAACTATAAAAGATTTAAGTTCAATTAAGCCTATAAAAGATTTAAAACCTTTGTTATCCATAAACAATAATATATGAACCCATTGATAAATAATATTCATCATACAATATGAGGCCAAATGGTTAGCTTATATTTATATAGTAGAGGAGATGCTGAAAAATTAAAGCATCATATTTTGAATGAGTCTCAAGATTTTGAATTATTTCCTAAAATTATATACTTCGCTTAAAAAACTTTAGAAGAGGCTTCTGAAGGATTACTACAAAGGGTTGGACATCAGATAAATATTAAACAAATAAAATCCATGATATCAGATTGTAAAATTCAATGATGTTTATGTAATATTGAGTGTCATATGAGATAATATTCAGTGAGAGTATTTTAAATAAGTTTAATAAAGTTTTGGTTTAAGTTTGTTTAAGAAGCTTTTAAGTAATTAAGAGTTTGATTTTGTGAAATCAATTTCACAAGAGCTTGAGGAGATCATCTATTGGTGTTTGAGAATCCAACTATTCTCCCTCTATCTCTTGATCCATTAAGAAGTTTTCTAAACTCCATTTCTAGCTTTTTTTTATATATTTGTTTATCATTGTTATTAATATAAGACCCCGTAGATTTTGAGTATGTATATGTGTAACGCCCCGCCCCGGAATCCCGGAGTCGGTACGGTATTAGATTTGATGGACTGGCCTCACAAACCACCACATGTCTTTTCAGCACATTTTGTCCTCACTCACGCGATCCCTGGAAAACTTCCCAGGGGGTCACCCATCCTAGAATTTCTCCAGGCCAAGCACGCTTAACTTTGGAATTTCTAAGAGTTGAGTTCCCGAAAAGAAGATGCATCTTAGTGGTATGAGTATTCCAATCAAATCTATCAATACTAATCACATCACCCTCTCAAGAGTTGGGGTATTACAAACTCCCCCACTTAAAATTGCAACGTCCTCGTTGCGCCAAATCATATCATCCAAGACCGTACCATTCGTGTGAGATTCTAGAGGTGGCTCCTACGGCCTCAAGAGGTGGCTCCCGCCCTCTCGACGTAGCACTTTACGCCGCATAGCACTTAGCTCTCACAATTCCGGCTGGCTTTGCTCTGATACCATTTGTAACATCCCGTCCCGGAATCCCGGAGTCGGTACGCTATTAGATCTGATGGACTGGCCTCACAAATCACCACATGTCTTTTCAGCACGTTTTGTCCTCACTCACACGCTCACCTATAAGAGCAAATATGTAAAGGTTATTTAGATATTAGTTCCTTAATTTTTAAATATACAATGTTTTTATGTTATTCCCTGAAATATTTTAAATTGCTCATAATTTAGGGACTAATATTAAATTATTAAAATTTTTTGATTTTGTTTGACATTGGATAGATATGAATTATTTTGTTAAAATACAATCAATATGAGTGCATAATATGTATAAATTATTCTCAGACTATATTCAGAATTTTCTAAAACTAGAGAGTAATCATTTTGATAGATCAATTAGTAGTTGGGAAGATGTAAAAAGAGTACAACAACAGATTTTAAAATTGATCATATAATTTATATTTTCTTTCTTGATTGAATTTGCACATTATAACTTAGAGAATTCTAGAAAAAGTTCTTGAATATCTATAATACTCGGTCGCCTGATAAACAATAGGTGGAAGTGATTTTTTCATAACCGAACAAAATCCTTACTAACTAGATCAATAGGTGGAAGTGATTTTTTTCATAACCGAACAAAATCCTTACTAACTAGATAAAGCCTACCATTTTTCTTTGATGAATTCAAGAATTTATTTTTTTATTAATAATTATAGGTTTTTCCCGTATTGGTCCCTTACATCATTAATATTTTAAAATTATACGTTCAAATTAGTAATTAATCTTAAATCGTTAATATTTTAAGGTTTTAAACATCACTATTTTTTTGGAAGACAAAAATGTTAAAACCACACATAGAAATATCCAAAAAAATTTAATATATTATGATATTTATAAAGTTTTTTGCAACCATATTATAGTAAATAAATAAACCTAAAAAATCATTATGATATTTGATCACGTGCAGTGCACGTGCATCCCACCTAGTAATAAAAAAAAAAGGACTAGGAAAAGTGTCAATAACAATGAAAATTGGGTAAATATTATATTCTTTATTGCCATCCATACACAGCGACATCAAATATGAGGATTTGCCATATTCTTCTACTCTTTACCATTATGCAAGAAATTCCCAAGAGAGTTAACCAGCTTAAAGAAGTTTGAAGGCCAAGCAGTGATACCCATATGACGAGCGAAAATTTTCCGTAGTTTTGCAGAAAAAGGGAAGGGCAAAAATAGGTGCTCAATTGTCTCCAAATTATCTACACATGAAACACAGTTAGTGTAACCACGCCAACCTCTTTTTACACAGTTAGTGTAACCACCCCAACCTCTTTTTACTCAGCTAATGGTTCCTTGATCAAAAGCCAAGTAAATATTATCATCCTGTTCAGAAATGTTGAATTCCAAAAGAGATGATAAATTTCAGCAGAAACTATCTAGCATAAAGATTCTCACGTTAATCAAACTGATTTCCATGGGAATTTTGTGTGCGTGTGTGTGCGCGCGGGCGCGCGTCACATGCATAACACATATCCATGCCAGTGGTTCGTTACTGAATATTTGTTGTTGGACCTTCACTAAGCGGCAGGGCTCTCTGTCTCTCCTCTTGATTTCCCTTCCTCACGAACATATCTCTAACAATATGCAGTTCCCTGTTGATTTTGTCCATCTCCGTTCTCTCTGCTGGTAATTCATTCGAACATGAGATACCAATTCTAAGCATTGAAGTGACGCACTCGATTGCTCTTGCATAATTCATACTTTCAGCATCATCACATAGTGAGAGCAAATGAGCATCAATGATGTTTGCGATTCGTCCAGGAAATGCCCTCTTCACAAACGTAGGAAGAGTAAGACCTCCTACAAACATATCATCAGTGGGTCTCTTTCCAGTAAACATTTCAAGTAAAAGGATCCCATAGCTATACACATCTCCACGAGTTGAAACTTTGTGCCCCATTCCGTACTCTGTCATAGGTGAAATACATAGAAGCAATTACAATGGATTAGTTTGAGATAATTCCAAAAGGAAGAACAAAGTCAAACTGAGTACTACATTTTCTCCATAAAATTAATTTGCCAATATACGGAAAGATAGAGAGTATTTTCAGTGAAGTAAATAAGATGAACATATAGATGTCATAGATTGACTATGATTATAAAATTACATTTTTAAATTCAGAACATTCTAATGGAAATGTGTTAGTAAAACATGCGTGTATGCATTTGAAGTTTGCAAGTGTGAAGGAAATCAAACAACGCATTGTATTTAACTATAAAAGGAATATCTACCGTGAAGGTTAAGGTTCAAGTGGGAATCTTGTTTTCCCTTTTATAATTTTAGCCTACAAGAAATAACATCAACATATATGAAAGTAAGGAAATCGAGAAGTAGAAGTTTTCACCTCGGGCGATATATCTAATAGTTCCTTTGAGACCAGCTGAACTTGTTGAGTACTGAGAAGAAACCTTTTTCAAAAACTTGGCTAACCCGAAGTCACCAACATGCGCAGTCATATTATCATCGAGAAGAATGATGCTTTGCTTCAGATCACAGTGAACAATTGGTTTTCCATAATTGTGGAGTTAATCCAAAGCATCAGCTACATCAATAGGTATATTTAATCTTCCCATAAGGTCCAGTTTTCTTGCTTTGAATTGCTCATTTGCTTTGGGATGCAACCCATCATCTAAACTACCGCTCTCCATAAGCTCAAAGACCACAGCTTTGAAGTCATTACCTTTGAAATCTGCACCTGAACATATTGTAAGGATCTTGAAAAGATTCTGATGCATAATGTTTTTCGCTGCTTCTCATTCTGCCATAAATCTCCTTGAAGCTACTTGTATTTGTAGCTTTAATACCTTTGCAGCAAAAAACTTTCGTACATACCCCCATTGAGTAGTCCTTTGAACACCATAAATGAACTTCACTCCCAATTATATTGTTCTCAGGGAATCAATTTGCTGCTCTTCCTAGTTCCCCATAAGGGACTTCTTCATTTTGATCATTTGTGGGTGATGAGTCCATAGATTTTCTTCTTAAACCTTTTCGATGGCATCAAAGAACAAGGAAGCAAAATAGAAAGATCAGTAATATAAATGAAATAGTTATCCCACAGATTACTACCGCTCTATGCGAGTCATGTTTCTTGTTAAAGGGTTTGGAAGGGCAAGCTGGCAGATGCATTTCCAGGTTCCCTCCACAAAGCTTTATGTCTCCAATAACTGAAACTGCACTTGAATTTTCAAACACCCCAAGTTGTGGCACTTCACCTTCAAGGTTATTGAAAGATAGATTCAAAGTATAAACTGCTTCTTAATACTCCGAAAAGTATACGAGTATAAACTGCTTCTTAATACTCCGAAAAGTATACGAGTATAAACTGCTTCTTAATACTCCGAAAAGTATACGAGTATAAACTGCTTCTTAATACTCCGAAAAGTATACGAGTATAAACTGCTTCTTAATACTCTGAAAAGTATACGAGTATAAACTGCTTCTTAATACTCTGAAAAGTATACGAGTATAAACTGCTTCTTAATACTCTGAAAAGTATACGAGTATAAACTGCTTCTTAATACTCCGAAAAGTATACGAGTATAAACTGCTTCTTAATACTCCGAAAAGTATACGAGTATAAACTGCTTCTTAATACTCCGAAAAGTATACGAGTATAAACTGCTTCTTAATACTCCGAAAAGTATACGAGTATAAACTGCTTCTTAATACTCCGAAAAGTATACGAGTATAAACTGCTTCTTAATACTCCGAAAAGTATACGAGTATAAACTGCTTCTTAATACTCCGAAAAGTATACGAGTATAAACTGCTTCTTAATACTCCGAAAAGTATACGAGTATAAACTGCTTCTTAATACTCTGAAAAGTATACGAGTATAAACTGCTTCTTAATACTCTGAAAAGTATACGAGTATAAACTGCTTCTTAATACTCTGAAAAGTATACGAGTATAAACTGCTTCTTAATACTCCGAAAAGTATACGAGTATAAACTGCTTCTTAATACTCCGAAAAGTATACGAGTATAAACTGCTTCTTAATACTCCGAAAAGTATACGAGTATAAACTGCTTCTTAATACTCCGAAAAGTATACGAGTATAAACTGCTTCTTAATACTCCGAAAAGTATACGAGTATAAACTGCTTCTTAATACTCCGAAAAGTATACGAGTATAAACTGCTTCTTAATACTCCGAAAAGTATACGAGTATAAACTGCTTCTTAATACTCCGAAAAGTATACGAGTATAAACTGCTTCTTAATACTCTGAAAAGTATACGAGTATAAACTGCTTCTTAATACTCTGAAAAGTATACGAGTATAAACTGCTTCTTAATACTCTGAAAAGTATACGAGTATAAACTGCTTCTTAATACTCCGAAAAGTATACGAGTATAAACTGCTTCTTAATACTCCGAAAAGTATACGAGTATAAACTGCTTCTTAATACTCCGAAAAGTATACGAGTATAAACTGCTTCTTAATACTCCGAAAAGTATACGAGTATAAACTGCTTCTTAATACTCCGAAAAGTATACGAGTATAAACTGCTTCTTAATACTCCGAAAAGTATACGAGTATAAACTGCTTCTTAATACTCCGAAAAGTATACGAGTATAAACTGCTTCTTAATACTCCGAAAAGTATACGAGTATAAACTGCTTCTTAATACTCTGAAAAGTATACGAGTATAAACTGCTTCTTAATACTCTGAAAAGTATACGAGTATAAACTGCTTCTTAATACTCTGAAAAGTATACGAGTATAAACTGCTTCTTAATACTCCGAAAAGTATACGAGTATAAACTGCTTCTTAATACTCCGAAAAGTATACGAGTATAAACTGCTTCTTAATACTCCGAAAAGTATACGAGTATAAACTGCTTCTTAATACTCCGAAAAGTATACGAGTATAAACTGCTTCTTAATACTCCGAAAAGTATACGAGTATAAACTGCTTCTTAATACTCCGAAAAGTATACGAGTATAAACTGCTTCTTAATACTCCGAAAAGTATACGAGTATAAACTGCTTCTTAATACTCCGAAAAGTATACGAGTATAAACTGCTTCTTAATACTCTGAAAAGTATACGAGTATAAACTGCTTCTTAATACTCTGAAAAGTATACGAGTATAAACTGCTTCTTAATACTCTGAAAAGTATACGAGTATAAACTGCTTCTTAATACTCCGAAAAGTATACGAGTATAAACTGCTTCTTAATACTCCGAAAAGTATACGAGTATAAACTGCTTCTTAATACTCCGAAAAGTATACGAGTATAAACTGCTTCTTAATACTCCGAAAAGTATACGAGTATAAACTGCTTCTTAATACTCCGAAAAGTATACGAGTATAAACTGCTTCTTAATACTCCGAAAAGTATACGAGTATAAACTGCTTCTTAATACTCCGAAAAGTATACGAGTATAAACTGCTTCTTAATACTCCGAAAAGTATACGAGTATAAACTGCTTCTTAATACTCTGAAAAGTATACGAGTATAAACTGCTTCTTAATACTCTGAAAAGTATACGAGTATAAACTGCTTCTTAATACTCTGAAAAGTATACGAGTATAAACTGCTTCTTAATACTCCGAAAAGTATACGAGTATAAACTGCTTCTTAATACTCCGAAAAGTATACGAGTATAAACTGCTTCTTAATACTCCGAAAAGTATACGAGTATAAACTGCTTCTTAATACTCCGAAAAGTATACGAGTATAAACTGCTTCTTAATACTCCGAAAAGTATACGAGTATAAACTGCTTCTTAATACTCCGAAAAGTATACGAGTATAAACTGCTTCTTAATACTCCGAAAAGTATACGAGTATAAACTGCTTCTTAATACTCCGAAAAGTATACGAGTATAAACTGCTTCTTAATACTCTGAAAAGTATACGAGTATAAACTGCTTCTTAATACTCTGAAAAGTATACGAGTATAAACTGCTTCTTAATACTCTGAAAAGTATACGAGTATAAACTGCTTCTTAATACTCCGAAAAGTATACGAGTATAAACTGCTTCTTAATACTCCGAAAAGTATACGAGTATAAACTGCTTCTTAATACTCCGAAAAGTATACGAGTATAAACTGCTTCTTAATACTCCGAAAAGTATACGAGTATAAACTGCTTCTTAATACTCCGAAAAGTATACGAGTATAAACTGCTTCTTAATACTCCGAAAAGTATACGAGTATAAACTGCTTCTTAATACTCCGAAAAGTATACGAGTATAAACTGCTTCTTAATACTCCGAAAAGTATACGAGTATAAACTGCTTCTTAATACTCTGAAAAGTATACGAGTATAAACTGCTTCTTAATACTCTGAAAAGTATACGAGTATAAACTGCTTCTTAATACTCTGAAAAGTATACGAGTATAAACTGCTTCTTAATACTCCGAAAAGTATACGAGTATAAACTGCTTCTTAATACTCCGAAAAGTATACGAGTATAAACTGCTTCTTAATACTCCGAAAAGTATACGAGTATAAACTGCTTCTTAATACTCCGAAAAGTATACGAGTATAAACTGCTTCTTAATACTCCGAAAAGTATACGAGTATAAACTGCTTCTTAATACTCCGAAAAGTATACGAGTATAAACTGCTTCTTAATACTCCGAAAAGTATACGAGTATAAACTGCTTCTTAATACTCCGAAAAGTATACGAGTATAAACTGCTTCTTAATACTCTGAAAAGTATACGAGTATAAACTGCTTCTTAATACTCTGAAAAGTATACGAGTATAAACTGCTTCTTAATACTCTGAAAAGTATACGAGTATAAACTGCTTCTTAATACTCCGAAAAGTATACGAGTATAAACTGCTTCTTAATACTCCGAAAAGTATACGAGTATAAACTGCTTCTTAATACTCCGAAAAGTATACGAGTATAAACTGCTTCTTAATACTCCGAAAA